CATTTTGCCCTTCAGGTTTGCAAAAAGTGCTCTGCTCTCTTCTTATACATTCCAACCATTTAAAAATAACAAAGGTTGGGACTGGTAACGATAAAATGACAGGTCCAAGGCCACTGTCAAGATCTGGGTAGAACTCAGGGAGCCAAGTAAGCAAGAAACCCTCTGTCATTCAAGTGTACTAAGTCACATGGGCTCCACCCCCTTGTCAAACTGTTCCCCTGCCACACACTGAAGGCCAGATGGGCTGGCAGATATGTCAGAGCAGCTTTAAAAACAAGCTCTGGCCCACGGACAAAAACCCTCAAATAAATCAAAGCCAGTTCCCTGTCCCTGCCCTGCCCAATTAAAAAAAAAAATTAAATGTCATGTTCTGACTCCTCTTGGCAGAATTTGAGCAAGCTGGACTTGGTTTCCAAGAACACTGGGTTAGATCTGACTCACTGGCAAGAAAAAGAGTTGACATCAGAAGCAATAAAGTGAATGCAAATTTTGGATGAGTAGATACCATTTCCACTGGCCCAACAGTTAAAATCTTTGTAAATTCTTTACAGAAAACCAAGCTATAAGGCAGGCTTCTCGCTCTGTTGCTCCATTGAGATTCTGGATGGGCAAAGATGAGCATCCCAGATACAGCATAAAACCTTGGCTACAGCGTAACTTTTTTTAAGCATTTATCGAAACCCATAGGTCTGTGAAACACAGAGTAACCCCTAATATAAATTATGGACGCTACTTGATCATGAGGCCTCAATATTGGTTCATCAGTTGAAACAAACGTACACAGGAACATAAGATGTCAATAGGAGAAGTGATGAGAAGGAGGGAGGGGAGTGCGTGGCAATTCTCTGTACTTTCTACACAATTTCTCCATAAACCTAAAACCACTCTAAAAAATAGATTCTGTTAACATGCAAACAAATACAAAAAAGACTAGACTTAACTGAAGGTGAGGGGCCTTATTTTTTTCTTTTTGTCTATTTTCTAAATTTTCTAAAACAGATTTTTCTTAATGAGGCTGAAACCTGAGCTTGTGCAGGGATTACATCATCAAACATGTCATCTCATATATGTCTTCACAATGACCTCACAAGGTAGCCCAGGCTGGTCCCACGGCTGTCACTGTTTCACAGACAGCGATGTCGAGGCTCTGAGAACGCAATGCCTCGCTCACCATACCTACTTGAAGGAAATGCTTTGAAGGAATCTTTCAGAGACCATCCCTGCTATACACAGTCAGAAGGGTTTGTAAATATAAAAAGGAAGAGGGTGGGATAAGACCACAGGAAGAAAACAGGAAGCTCCGCTTGGCAGCAGCTGGAGATAAATGCTGCCCCCCGGCTGCATGGAGAAGACCAGAGAGGAACAATGGCACACAAACAAGCTCATTCATCTGGCCCAAGCCCAATGCCCCACCATCCACAGCGCTAAAATGGAAAGCAATGCTCAGCCTTGTTCCTCTGAACAGCCTTCCAGTTCCTCAGCTTTAGACCAACAAAGTCCCTTGGGGCTGAGGGGTAGGGGCCACTCTGGACCTTCCACCGCAGGCCCTTCCTAACCCCGCTGCAAGACGGCAAGAGGTTACAGGGAGGGTTCAAATGCATAAAACTGGGCAGGCTGCCCTCCACCTGAATCTTGGGCACCACTAGTTGAGCATGAGTCAGTCATCCCCAGGATCTGGGTATTGCCTAATCAGACCCCATGACTCAGTGGCTTGCCCATGGGACTCAGTAATTGTCATGATCATTGTCCTCGCCAGCCAAGAGAAGGGATGAGAGGAAGGAGAGATGCCACAATCCAGCTTCCGGCAGATTGGGAGCTCCCCAACCCAGTTCCCTCTAACCTCAGTTGCCTCTTTTCCCATCAAACAGGATTGGGATGCAGGAAAGAAGGGAGTGGTGTGACACCTATGCCAGTATGCGTCACAGGCAGTCTGGGACCCACCCACCAAAGGAAATTTGAATGAACCCAAATCGTGTTCTCAACACTCTGCTCAGCTAGTTACAAGGCAGGAAACAAGTTATGGGCAAAGAGGCAGTGGACAGGAGAAGCCCCATCTTTATGGAGCCTTGCTTACTTTAAGCAAGTGAACTGTAACAGGACAGATGGTGAGAAGTGCTATGAAGCAAAAGTAAAGCAGGAAGAGGAGGACTGGTGTGGCAGAGTTGGTGAGCGGCGAGTTACACCTGTAAATACATTAGCCCAGGAAGGCCTCATTGGTAAAGTAGCTTCTGAGCAGAAATCTAGAGAAGAGGGCATGGATCATGCCAATATCTGGGTTAAGAGGATGCCAAACGGAGGGAACAGCAAGTTGAAAGGCACTGAGGGGGAGCACATCTGACCAACACAAGCCGAAGGAGACCACCACCCATCAGCTGGGGCCCGCGGCCAGAACCAGAGGGCCAACCTCAAGAGGCCATTATTCCGGCCCCCTGACCAAAAGGTCCCTTAGCCAGGTTTTCCAGAGACCTGGGCTCAGGGGACACAGTAGGGGAGCCACCAGTCTTAGTGGGACTGCCGCCACTCTAAGAGAAGCCTTTAACTGACCATTCTGACATCATCTTGCAGCGCGAGGCACGTGAGATGTTCTTAATAGGTAATTGCTGGATAAAAAGAATGAATCCTCAGCAAAGGACAATAAATTCAAGTGTTTAAGGTTTTCAGAAAAGGAGGTTTCATAACTTCCTCAGGATTTTGCCAATGTCTAAGTTAAATTATCCAGAAATTTCTCCTTAAATCTAACCCAAATCCTTCATACTGCAATTCCAGGTCAAGAATACTACTACCCCAGGCTACGGAGGGTGGGACACATCCCCGGACTTGGCGGAGCATGGGTACTTTGAAGCGAGCTACCTCAGGGTTCTCTGGTCTCCTCAGAGTACCTTTTGGAGAAGAATTTCTTCTCCTTGGGAACCCAGAGTCCAGGATGGGGCCCAGCGGGAGCAGCTGCTTGGGCTTGCAGGAAACCAACAAATCATTGGGACTTTGATTGTACGGCCCAATTTACCAGAGAAGAGGGAAGGGTTTCAGGTAGCCGTCTGTCTAGGAGGAAACAGAATATAACTGGCAGGTTCCAACCAGAAACTCTGGCTCAGGGTTCCGAGTGCAAAACCCAAAAACACAGGTAGGATCTTAGAATTGCTACAGAATCAAGCGGATCCCTTTCTGGGAACTTTGAGAGGTGCACAGAGGCAGGGAAAAGACGAGGAATGGCAAAGTCCTGGCCCCTCATCCTCTACGGGTCTGATCTTAATATGGTCCAACCACCACCTGTCTGTCAGTCCATTGCACTGTGGTGGCTTGCATGTTGCTATGATCCTAGAAGCTATGCCACTGGTATTTCAAATATCAGCAGGGTCAGCCATGGTGAACAGGTTTCACTGGAGCTTTCAGACTAAGACAGACTAGGAAGAAAGGCCTGGTGATCTACTTCCAAAAATTAGCCAATGAAAACCCTACGGTTCACTACAGAATATGCCCGATATAGTGCTAGAAGATGAGCCCCCTAGGCTGGTAGGCATTCAAAATACACAGAGGCCACAATAGACTCGAGCACACCAACGATTTGAAGGTGGCGCAGGACTGGACAACCTTTCATTCTGTTGTACGTGGGGATGCCATGAGTTGGAGTCAACTTGATGACAACTACAACTAACAACAAACTTACCAAGGGTTCACCCTACCACCATCTCCCCACAGTGCCCAGCAACATGCTGTGCACACAGTAGGCGCTCAAATACTTATTGATTCACTAAAGATCTTCTTACAAGTGGAGACTTCAGAGGCAGCCTCTTCCATCAAGTTATAAACGCACAAGAGGGAGAAGACCCAATCATTTGTCAGTGAACTACAACTTGAGTCAACTGCTTAGAGCTTCTTGGGAAATCCAGGCTCTTCTTTCAAGACACACTACAGAAGCAGAACGGGTAGGTGAATCACGCTGAAGACACTGGGTCGGGAAGCCCGACTGGGCTGAGGTCTGTGAAAAGTCCCCAGCCCAGGGCCTGACACACAGCAGGTGCTTGGTAAGTCTGGGGTGGGGGTGGGGGGGTAGTCTTTCCCTTCCCCATTCACAGGGCCTGGCTATCAAGAGGTGGGGAGGGGACACAATCGGCACATCGAGTCACATCAGGGCAGCCAAGAGAAGACACTCTGAAACCAGACCTAGTTTCCAAGCAGCCCCCAGCAACTGCCTGACCACAGCTCCCCTGAACACTGAGAAAAGGGCAGGGACGAGCACCCCCAGCAGGGCATCCCCTCACCCTTTCCACTGCTACCTCCATTCTGGTTTCAGTTCCTCAGCTGCTTATTTGGGTTCTCACGACAAAAGAACCAATATTTAAAAGAAAAAAAAAAACAGTTGCCGTGGAGTCAATTCCAACTCATGGCAACCCCATGTGTGTCAGAATAGAACTGTGCTCCACAGGGTTTTCAAGGGCTAACAACACAATTTTTCAGGAAGTAAATCACCAGGCCTTTCTTCCGAGGGGCCTCTGGGTGGGCTCGAACCTCCAACCTTTAGGTTAATAGCTGAGCGTGTTAACAGTGTGCACCACCCATTAATCTCAAACAGTAAGGAGAATGCAAGGAAGGAAGCAAGTATTCCTCCTGCTTCCTGACCGATGATCATTAGGAGTGGGAAAAGGAATTAAGTCTGATGTTCTGGACACATTCACATGTTGGTGTAAGCTGCCCCAGCTCCCTGGGAACTGGACCCAGGCACCAACTCAGGTGACAAGGCAGTGCCCACTCACAGAGCTATACACATGCCAGGACTCACGTTCTATTAACAGTACCAAGAGCTGGAATGAAGGCTAACTGTGGGGGAAGGAAAAGGAACACGGCTGACTTCAAACACAGCTGTTGACGAAGTCATGGCTATTTCCCATTGCACAAAAGCTGCACTTCTAACCTCCAGCAGAAGATACAGAATCAAAAGGTGCACCCAAAATGCTGGTGGGCGGTGGGTAACTGCAGGGGAGATGGTATGGAGGCTACCTTACCTGCCGCGCCACCTTCCGCGCCTCCCAGTAGGGCTTTGAGTCTTCCACAGCTTTACCAATTTTCTTCACCAGTTCATCTAGTTTCACCGTTGCTTCAACCAGAACAGAGCGGAACTTCTGGCGAGCGTCCTGCAGCCAGGGGAAATCGAGGAAACAGCTCAGTCTTAAGAAGGAATCTGAAAACACCTGCTTTACCTAACCAAGAACACCAACGAGGGATTTTACCCAACATATACCACCAGCTGCCACAGAGCTGATCCCAACTCATGGCGACCCTGCGTGCGTCAGAGTAGAATTGTGCTCCATAGGGTTTTCAATGGCTGATTTTTTGGAAGTAGGTAAAAAACAGGCCTTTCTTCCAAGGTGCCTCTGGGTGGACTCAATCCACCAACCCTTTGGTTAGTAGCCGAGTACTTAACTATTTCTGCCACCCAGGGACTCCTCCACCAATAGCTAAAAAAAAGACAAACCTGTTGCCATCAAGTTGATACTGACTCATGGCAACCCCATGTATTACAGAGTAGAACTGCTCCATAGGGTTTTCTTGGCTATAATCTTTACAGAAGCAGATCACCAGGCCTCTCTTCTGTGGTGCTGCTGGGTGGATTTGAACTGCCGACCTTTAAGTTAGTCAAGCACAAACCATTTGCCCACTCAGGGACCTTCCCCAACATATAAGCCCTCTAAAATAATACCTTTACAAGACAGTGAATAAAGCTGCACTGTCCAATAGGACTTTCTGCAGTGATGAAAACGTTCTGTGATCTGAGCTGTCGAGTATGGTAAGCCACTAGCCACATGTGGCTATGGAGCAGCTGAAATGTGGCTAGCATGAGATTTTTAATTTATTTAATTTTAATTAATTATATTTACATTTAAATAGCCACATGTGGTTAATGACTACCATAGCGGGCAGAAGAGGTAGGTCTAGATTAAAAAGCTCTGTCCAGATCCTCAGGGGAAAAACGTCCAGTCCACCCATCTCTGGCTACCCCAGGTCATGATGATGGCACTATTTCCTACACTCTCAAAAAGTCCTCAGCCACATGACACAGTGTGCGTTAAACACAAGCGTGAGTTTAGCACCTGCCAGATCCTGTGCTGGACCTCATCATGGCCTCTACCTTCAGGACATTCGCAGTCTGGTGGGTGGGGCAGGTCTTTACAGCCCAATCCAGAGAAGTGAGTGCCAGGATGAGGTGGGACAGGAGCCATGGAACCCAGAGGCGAAGACCCTTGTCAGGCTGGACACTCATGGGAAACTTCCAGAGGGGTAACATCTACACAGGAGGCTGACATGTGAATGGGAGTTTCGGGGAGGGATCGGAAATACTGGGTCCCCAGCAGACAGCAAAGCCCCATGCTCAGCTCAGGCGAGAGGAAGCAGTGTGGTGTCTGCAAGAAAATGAAAGAATCCAGAGGTCTGGAATGTGGAGAACAGCAAGAGATAAGTGTGGCTGCTCATCCTGGAGGCAGCCACTAACACGCTAGCCTCGACAAGAGTTTGGAAGGACAGAACAGGCAGGTGGATAGAGTCGGGCTTAAACACAGTGTGAAAGTCAGTAAGTCAGACTCACGGGGTACAGGAGAAAAAAACGAGAAAGAAGAAATGTAGTCCCAGGGCTAGGAGGACATGATGGAGGTCAGATGGTACTTCATTGAGCCTACATCCCCTGATGCTTGTCCCTTTAGGCTTTGCCTGTTGTGGCCACACCTGTGTGCATGTGTGTGTGTATGTTTGATGTGTGTGCCTGTGTCAGTATGAATGTGAATGTGTGATATATGTGTACGTGTACCGTGTGCATGTGTTATGAATGTGTGTGCACGTGTGATATGTGTATATATGTGCATGTGTGCGTGCGTGTGAGTGTATGCATGGGTATGCATGCACCTGCATGTGCTTCAGAGGGGGGAAAGAGATGCTCAGAGGAGAATAACATATGATCACCAGCCACGGGGCTGCCCATCTTACCTGCTGGTGAAACGTGTCATTTCATAGGCTACAAAGGGCCTACCTCACAAGTACACAAGTAACGACCTGAAAAAATATTCCTAAACACTGAACTGTAGAGAGGTCTGTTGGGCCACCGGGCCCTGGTGGCACAGTGGTTAAGAGCTTAGCTGCTAACCAAAAGGTCAGCAGTTCAAGTCCACCAGCTCTCCTTGGAAACCCTATAGGGCAGTTCTACTCTGTCCTACAGGGTTGCTATGAGTAGGAATTGACTCAAAGGCAATGGGTTTTTGGTCCTGGGCCATCAGGAGGATGCTTACAGAGGTGAAAGAGGTCCTGATCAGTTGTTCTAATACGTTCCCCTGTCATATCATGCAATGGGCTGGCTAGTTGGGTTTGAAAATGATGCCCAGTCTCTGGGATAGGGTTTTTGCTTCTATGGGAGTTTCTTAGCTCGTGAGCAGATCACACTTCTCACACAGGCTCTGGTCCCTTCCCCAGCTCTGCATCCCCCTGTCCTGTCTGGCCAGGCCTGGAGTCACTCGCTACAGCTTCTGAAGACAGAGGACAAGACTAGACTTGTTTTCTCCTGGGGAAACACCACAGACAGCACCAGGTCTCCAGACCTCTCAGGTTACTCAGAGAACAGCAAAGCCCCACAAGGTACTGCCAGGCTTGGCTGCATTAGCCCTGCCTTGAACAAGCGGGAGCGGCATGTTGCCTAAAGCCCAGGCTTTCAATCAGACAGACAGATTCAATCCTGGTAAAACCTCTTTCGGTGAGGCCCTTAGCAGGTAACTTCTCTATGAATCATTTTTATTGCCCGTAAAATAGGATCTCATGAAGAGGGCTGTCAGGGGAATAAAGGAGAAAGAAAATGTAAAACCCCTAACAGTACCTGGGTACACAGTAAAACAAGAAACAAAAAAAAAAAAAACCAGTTGCTGTTGAGTCGATTCCAACTCTTGGTGACCTCATATGTGTCACAGTAGAACTGTGCTCCATAGGGTTTTCAATGGCTGTGATCTTCCAGGAGTAGGCTGCCAGGGCTTTCTTCCAAGGTGCCTCTGGATGGACTCAAACCGCCAACCTTTTGGTTAGCAACCAAGCGCGTTAACGATTTGCACCACCCAGGGACACGGGCAGACAGTAGGTACTCCATAAATACACACAATTTTTTATATACCTCCTGGTATAAAAAGAGACCCACGATCCTATTAAATAACACCAAGAGGGTCGGTCTCTCTGCAGGCAGGGAGGTTGATGTCATGAAAATAACCCGTTAGACGTGTGTAGGCAGCTGCTTTGCAAAATGCATTCACCTGCACTACCACTACCCTGGTGGTAGGCGGGACAGTACTAGCCATACCCATACCATGAGTGAGGGAACCGAGGGCCAATCAGGCAGCGTGGGACCCAGGGCAGGTCCCATCATCACCCTGGGCCTATCATAAGCACTTTAAGCCCATCGACTTGTGCAATCAGCATAACCACCTTATTGTTATTATTCACATCTCACAAAGGAGGAAACTGAGACACAGAGGATAGGTAACAAAGCTGGGAAATGTCAGAACCAGGATATAAGCTCAAACTGTAAATAAATAATTACAATGTAGTGTGGTAAGTACTCGCTGTTGTTGCTAGGTTCCCACTCAGAGCGACCCTATGTACAACAGAACGAAACACTGCCCGGTCTTGCATCATCCTCACAATCGTTGCTATGTTTTGAGCCCACTGTCGCAACCATTGTGTCAATCCATCTTGTCGAGGGTCTTCCTCTTTTTCGCTGACACCACACATTAATACTAAGACCTAAGAATACACACTGTGCAACAGACACCTGGGAAGGTCACCCAAGGAAAGGGTCACGCAAGCCAGGCCTTGAAGAAAGGAGGATGTCACCAGACGGGGTGGGGGTGGGCATGGGGGTGAGCGCAGACATGGGAGGATGAGGGAATAACAGGAGCAAAGCATGACAGGTGTGGGGGGAGGTTGGAGCCATAGTAAGAGATATACGCCATATTAACGCTTTTGAACTTTACGCCATGGGCAGTGAAGAGCTGTCTTAGTTATCTAGTGCTGCTGTAACAGGAATACCACAAGTGGATGGCTTTAACAAATACAAATTTATTCTCTCACAGCCTAGGAGGCTAGAAGTCCAAATTCAGGGTACTAGCTTCAGGGGATGGCTTTCTCTGTCAGCTCTGGGGGAAGGTCCTTGTCATCCTCCCCGGTCAAGGAGCTTCTCAGCACAGGGATCCTGGGTCCAAAGTGCGCTATTCTCCTGGCTCTTATTTCTTGGTCATATGAGGTCCCCATGTCTCTCTGCTCACTTCCCTCTTTTATCTCTCAAAAGAGACTGACTTAAAAGGCAACCTAATCTTGTAGATTGAGTCCTGCCTCATTAATATAACTGCCGATGATCCCACCTCATTAACATCACAGAGGTAGGATTTACAACACATAGGAAAATCACATCAGATGACAAAATGGTAGACAATCACACATGTTTGACTAGCCAAGCTGACATACATTTTTGGGGGACATACTTCCGTCCACAACAGGAGCCACAGTGGATTTTTAAGCAGAGGCAGCACCTGATCAGATGAGGGTTTTACGAAAGAGTGAACTGACTGCAGAGTAGTTTTAAAGGCACCTCAGATGAGTCTGATGAGCAGGTTCAGGGACCACCAGCCTGCTTACTGTCCTTCCACAACTATCTGTATTAGCATGTGACCATCAAAGGATACTGAACCCAAGAGAGGTGATTTAATATCAAGTTTTCTCTCTATAACAGAGGCTATGCTCCGGGAATGATGATGTATGATTGACAGACATCCAACTATCAACAAGCCTACTCATCTAAGACCCGTTAAAAGCTCAACACAGAGTCAGCCTTCTCCCTGATGAAATAAAGCAGACACGGTTCTTTTACCACTCTGCAGAAGATAACAGCTATTTGAGTAACAATTAATTCCCCATAAGCATTGGGGTATGGGAGCCCACAGATCTCAGCACCAAAATCTTCCCTGCCTACCCAAGGCAACAGCCCTGATATTCCTTAGGCTTTACCCCACCTCTCAGTCCCTGGTGGAGCAACTCTGGGCCCAAATGTGGTCATGTGACTAGATCTGGCCAGTCAGACTGCATACTCCTAGCCTCAGTGATTGAGGCAGGA